AAATATTCTGGCGGGCTAGTTGGTTCTACATACTAAATTACGAATAGCGCTAAGACAAGGACAGACGAAAAATTTTTATTTTTCTTCTAACCCTTCTTCGATTTTCTAACCCTTCAAAATATTATTGTATATAGTTCAAACTTTTTACCTTTGTTTCATTTTTATTATTTTTGTTGCGTTCTACTCTGCTTTAGTCTTTTTAGTCTAACAATCTTCTTAGAGCGCCCCGGCTAGAAATCGACTTATTTCTTCTTTTTTCAACACCAGACACTTCCTTCACCTTCTTCTTTATCGTTGTATATAAAACCGTCAGTTGTGAGTTAGCACCTGTCCTGCCCACTTTTTCGTCTGTCCTTGTCTTAGCGCTATTTGTAATTTAGTAGAAAATGATTGAACACATTATATTTTCAAATGTCATAAAATATATCGAGTCCAGTAATCATCTCAACGTTAATCAATATGGATTTAGGAAAGGACTATCATGTGAAACGGTACTCCTAGAATTTGTACGTAACATTCACTCTAACCTTGAACATAAAAAGCAAGTCGATGCCATCTTTCTTGACTTTGCTAAAGCCTTCAATAGGGCACCTCATAATCGATTTTAACCAAACTTCAAAATTTTAAAATTGATCCTCTTATCATCTCAGGGATATCGAATTTTCTCTCTAGTCCCTTCCAAGACACCGTCGCAAATAACTCAGAGACATCTCGATCTAACGTAACATCGGGCGTCCCTCAAGGTAGCGTACTCAGACCACTTCTTTTTCTAGTCTGGATTAATGATCTCCCTCTCTGTGTCTCTTCCACCATCCGCTTTTTCGTAGAGGACTACGTAATTTATCACACAATCACGAGTACTGACGATCATTCATCCCTGCAAACCGACTTATCATCCTTTGCTCATTGTTGTGAGAAGTGGAAGATGTCCCTGTACTTAGATGTATGGGAGGTGCTAGCCTTTTCTTGTATTTTATCACTATCCTCCTACACCTACAATATTAACGACACAGTACTCAGTAGTGCTTTACCTGACAAATATCTTGGTCTTCATATAACAAGCGATTTAATATGGGTCACTCATATTAATCACGTAATCGTAAGGCAAATAGCACACTGGGTTTTCTACAAAGGAACTTAAGACTCGCCCCCCCCCCTCCCCCCCCCCCCCCCCCCCCTAAAGGGAAACAGATCGCGTACCGAAATTTAGTCCGCCCAACGCTAGAGTACGCTGCATCCGTTAGGTCCCCGTGGCAAAACTACCTTAAACGAGAACTAGAAAGTGTGCAAAACAGAGGTCTAAGATTTATCTTTTCTGATTATTCTTTTTACACTAGTGTCACTGGTCTGCGAGAGCGAGCGAATATTCCTTAGCTCGCTTTAAGGTGGAAGATATCTCGATCTACTCAGTTCTACAAGCACTACCACCTGAAAGCTACGCTTAGAAAAGTTTTACTTCCACGTCCCATCTCGTTTTTCCCAAAACTAGACAACAGCTGTAAAATAGAGCCCATATTTGCCTCCACCACCTCCTGCGCCAATTCCCTTCTCCCTTTAACAATATTAGAATGAAAGGCTTTACCTGATAACATAGTTACAACCGCAGCAGCCCCCAACAAAGGCCGCAATACGGAGCTCGAGCAGCGAGCTCCGACCCGCGGGTCAGTCGCGGATCACGCGCGAGGGTTTTAAACGCGCGGCCAGTCCGTGCCAGACCCCCAAAGCATTCTGTCGTTCTTTTCTCCACAACAACTAACAATGCGGACGTATTTAAAAAGCTACTATAGTGAACATTTAGATCACTGTGTAAACGATGCTGAGTCTTAGCTTGTTAATAACGTGTCCTTAATTTTTTTTTTTTTGTATTTATTTATTATTTTGTTATCGCTGCTCACGGGTTTGTATTACTACGTTTATATATTCATATGTTTAGTTCCCTATTCCTTCTGTCGTAGCTTACGAATTTGAATTACTTTTTTTATATTGAAACTTTTATTTTCCCATCCTTTGTGTAATGCCCTGTAATGGGGCCTTCGAGGTATTATGAAATAAATAAATAAATAAAGCAATTTTTCTTTAGCCCTCTCCTCTTTAAAATTAACTCTTTACAAAACACGTGTGCGGTCAAAGCTTGAATACGCCTCGTCTATCTGGGACTTGAGCCTTTTAAATTTGGTTAGCCCCCAAGGAGATGTTCAAAATCTTTCCGCTAGTTTTATCCTCAGTAATTAGCAACTCACTGCAAATGTCACCTTTATGAAATCTAACTTATCTTTGCCTAGTGTTGCTCATACCGAAAGATAGCCCGTTTGTGCCTCTTCCATAAAACAATTCACACTACCTCATTCCTTAGTCAACGTCTCCTCGCACGATCATTCTATGTTTCATCCCGTCTTGACCACCCTCATAAAGTAAGTGTACGAGCTATGTTGCACGAACATATTTCAACAATCTTTCATTCCCAAAGTTTTTTGGATTGCAACCACCTTTCCACCTCCATCGCCATAATCCAGGCAGATGATTTGTTTAAAACTGCAGTGACTAATTTCTATTGTTCATAACTAATATGTGCTTTGCGTTTAGGTTAGTCATTGTATTTTTTTTTTGTTTACTACCACCCACTCTTCTCTGTAATGCCGTGGGCCCTGACGGTATTGAAATAAATAAATAAATGCACTCATTTTTCTCACTATATATACAGCGGAAAAAATTAATGTAACATTACCTATACACCAATTCAATTTTCCCGAATTATTCAGAGTTAAATTTTATGCAACGTGACCTGACATTACGTGAGCTATAGAACAATTCAGTTTCTCGCTCAAGTTAACGGGAAATGTGATATCAAGTGACCGGACGTAACAAAACCTGGACAGCAATTTATTTTACCAGGTTAATATAAGAGGGAATTTAAAAACAAATAATGGTTCTTCACTCTCTAAAGTGACGGTTTATTCTTATTTAAATAATTTTAAACGATGGCACCTTAAAGGGTTCTTGAAACTATGTTTCTACTTTCGCTACATACTTCTTAGTATCAGTCTCTAACGCTACTAACGGAACAAACTTGCCATAGTTTTTACTTCTAGGCTTAGCGGTAGCCAAACAAATTCGATAAATATGAGCCTCGTTCATCCTTTACAAAAAAAAAACATGTTCTTATTCTGTTGAAACGCCTTTGAAAAAAATATCAGATGATATATAATATCAATAGCTTTTCATCTGCCTTTCTCTGGCTTTTCTATTGACTTTCTTTTAAATATTGGCCCACTTTGTAATAAAAAAGTCAACCGATTTTTTGCCTTCTCCAAGATGCTGTTTCTGTAGCTTTTCACTAAAAAACTACAGCCTTCTAAAAAATATATACAGCTTAGAAATTAATTCAAGAAAGTTTTGGAAACTTACTATGGCTTTCAACTTTGCTCCGAAAGGGATGCAGCAAATGAAAGAAAGGGATGCAGCAAAATAACGTAGAATAGGCGCCGGGCCACGCGGCCCGGCGCCTATTCTATGCCGTCAACGTTAATCACAGCTACGCGCTGGGGTTGGCAAAGTAGAAAACGCGTGCTGAGCTCCAAGCGTACTATAGGGAGTATTCACAACACGCCATATTTGTGGGTGCAGTTTACAGCGCATGCTCAGAGCGAGCTCACATCAATAGCTGCTAAGACCGGCACTTTTGATGGTGCAGAATGCACGTTGCAAAACAACTGTGGGAGCTGGCCATCAGCACGCGCTCAGCATTCGCGCACACAACTATGGCCGCCAGTGAATACTCCCTATTCTCATCACCGCAGTGCAGTTGGACACGAGACATTACCCGAGCGCCCGCCGACTCATTCAATGTTACGAGCCGAAATCGAGTGCTCACGCAGTTATCGTGTCCAATCCATGGGCCGCGCTCGACAGTCGCCGGGCGGGTGGTTTTGATCCCACAATTATGTCGTCGAGCTTTGCGAAGGCAAGACTGAAATAAACAGTACCCCTTTATCCTCGCGATTTCACCGCGACAAAGAAGCTTTTGAATTAGAGGCGGTCCGTGCGAGTACGCCTGAGCCAGACTAGGACCAGTACGCCTCTGCAAAGTCATGAACATTCACACCCGATATCGTTTCAAGTCCCCTTTAAATACTGGATTTTATGAATCATAAAACTTTGAAGATAAAGGTCGATGCAATGCTCTTTAATTGGTTCAGACAGCATAGATCCTTAGTCCCATTTCAAGTGCATGGGAAATTCGCTTTTCCGGCAGGTCAGGAATACTATTAGAGTTCCGGAATGTTTTCAGTCTATTAAAACGCTGCTGCTTACTAACAATAAATCTTTAAATAAAATAACTTCACTAAGAAAAATATAACAGCTTACAATTTTATTAGACTCTAAACTAGTTGCTTGCAATTTAGGCTTATATCATAGTTATTTTAATTTTAATGGCCTAAAGTGAATTTAGTTTAGGATTGGGTGCCTTGTAAATTTTTGTATAAGCGTTCATAAGTGACTACTTTGGCAGTCATGGGAATCAGCGCAAACCCGTCATGAACTTTACGGAAATAAGACGTATTTTGTAAAAATTACGATATTCTACCTGTTCCTTATCACTTGCACGTTGTATTAGCTTTGTTTTATATTAATCGTAGCGGTCGCTAAGGAACAAATATTTAATGTAAACGCTCAAAGGACGCTCAAAAGCAAAGGCTGAAATGTAAACGCTCAAAAGCAAAGGGTGAAAATATTCTTTTTATCACAGACAATTACAATACAGTTCAAGTATGAATGACGTTCTGAGTCCCACAACTTGCCTGTATTTATTTATTTCAAAATGTATTATATCGTTAGACAAAATATGTGAGTGGATTTTCTCATTTTAGCTCAACAGAGCTGTCATATCACATCGTGCATTATAATTGCAATTGATGCCATCAGATATGCACGTTATAAAACACGTTGAAATTAATGTTTGTTAAACATCAAAGTTCATCGGCTTTACTGAACTGTTCTAGATACCGATTGCAACAACGTGCAATAATAGTTGTCCACCAGGAATCAACGAATATCGTCCTTTCGGAACTGAGTGTGTTGTAAGTATTTCTATACATTTCGGAAGAGAAGCTGTACTTCGAGTAGTACAACTTCTCACAATTCACTAGCATGAAATAACAGATGGCATCGGTCTCTGGCAAGAATTTTGATCTGCTTGTATAAATCGTTGCAATTATCGCGTTCTGCGCGCTGGCAGAGTGACGCCTTTCTCTAATTGGTTGTGCAACGTATTCTGAATTGTACAGTAGCTCTCCTGCAGAGAAAAATAGACGCAGCATGAATCGAAGTGTAGTTATTTGGCTCTTTTGCCTGAATGATAAGCACTCGGAAGATGAATACATCAAGTAAATTACGAAACACAATCTTTACTGCGTGTTCCATCATATTTGTGCTGTCTTTTGCAAAGGTATCCGGAGTCTTAAATAAGTAACCTGGGAAACTACGTTCACCTCTAGAAGGAGCAAACCTAAACGACATAATAGCGAATATAGAGCAGAGTCAGCGATGTTACCTAATTAAATAATTTGGCTAGCTTTTACAGCTGAGCTGTTAAGGGCTAGGTTTCCCAGGATTGTGTCCACCAGCAAAAAAAATGATGTCACCAAACTCTAGACAGCTACCGCCATCTATGAGTGACGGCGGCAACCAAACAACCTTTTGCCGCCGTCGCTCATAGATGGCGGCAACCTTTCTTCAGAGGAAGAAAAAGCGGGGGCTGCACGAGGGGTGGCGATGTGCACAGCAGCGCGAATGGTTCGGCAACCGCCGCGAGGCCGCTATCGCCGAAAGTTCCACTGCGTCGAGCGCTTCAGATTCCCTTGCAAAAGAAGAGCACATCGCTCGCCTGGACAGCCACCGCCGAGAACAGAAGCTACAGCTCCGCTGCTCTTCCTTCTTCACCAGAGTAAAAAGGCTGAAATATTTTTTTTTTTCGTTTTCGTTATAGCGTTTTTTTTTTCAAAGCTACCTTGGATTTTGTTTTTACGCAAGAGCGCTGCATAGTAGCCCAGAATAATGTATATCCTTCATTATCACTGAGTGAAAGCATTTTCACCCCGCAGTGTTGCTTTACAATTCAACAAGGTTTGTGGCAAAGAATTAATGAAAATATTCTTGCCTTTAATAGTCTTGAAGCAGATTTGCAGATTTAATACAAATACCCAAATGCAGTGATTTTATTTCTGAGGCACATTTTGTATCCACTAGAGCAGAATAAAAATTAAACTTATTAAATTGCTCACCCTTCTGCTTTGAAATCAGCGCAGGTTGATTTCGAAGGCGTCACTTTAAAGAGGCATCACTTTCGTGAAGTAGAACGGTGTGAAGGAGATAAATGCATAGCTTACTTAAAAAGAGGCTCAAAAACATCACAGTATGAGAAACTTATTTTTAAGCATCTCAAGAAGTTTAACTAAGTATCTGAAATTGAAAAAAGTTTTGACTATTTCAATAGAGGGTACTAATGTGTCACAGCGTTTATCAGCTAGTACCTAGGGATAAAATAAAAATCTATCGGAGAGAAAAATCATCTATCAGCAGTTTTGGGTAAGTTACTTTTAAAAAGTAATTCATTACAGTTACAGTTACTTTCAGAAAAAAGTAGCGAAGTTACCGTTACAGTTATCCTAACAAACGAGTAACTCCTTACAGTTACAGTTACTTTTAAAAAGTAACGACGTTACTTCTCAGTTACTTTTTTATAACAGGAAAATTTAGAAAAACTAGAAAACGCCGCTCACCAAGTTTTTTGCATAAAATTAAGAATTCGTTTCTTTACTTCATATTGTATCATAGCAGCAGTTGCTTCTCGAAATTAGTGACTGAAAGTTTCCCTCGTTTGATGGCGAACACGTCCCTGCCCTTGCTGAACGAAGCCCGCGCAACAAGAGCAACGAGCAAACCCCGCGCAAACAGCAGTAAATTTTGCCTCGACTATTAACAACACGAAGGAGTGTGGTGCAAATCAAAACAAAATACATGAGCAGTGCGGATTAGTGGCGATAATCAAAATACGACTCATTCGCAATGCCCTCTGTGTGCGTTGCTATTTCACGGTTGACTCACCCGATTAAAAGTGTTTGCGCCAAAAAAAAGAAAAAAAAAAGAACAGCCGCAACATAGTGTTTCAAGATACTAAGATGTAAGTGTTCAGTCACAAAGTACAAGCGCGTGCATAAATATAACTAAGTTTTTTTTCATCACATCTACACGTGGCTATTTTCGGTTCATGAATCGCGAGAAAGAACGCATTTACAAGTTTGTGCAAGGCCAACTTAACACTCAAAACGATGGAACAGGCAGTTTGGAAAGTGCAAGGAATAGCTAGATTGTGCTCGTTCAATGATATATCATTCACAAAGAACTGAAAAGTAAAGACAAAAGTAACGTCGTTACTTTCATAGTTACCTAAGAAAAAAAGTAATAGAACTACAGTTACAAGTTAAATTTTTAAAAAGTAACTCGTTACAGTTACAAGTTACCAAAAAAGTAACGAAGTTACAGTAACTCGTTACTAGTAACGCGTTACTACCTAAGACTGTCTATCAGGTAGAGACTTAATTTACTTGAGTGTGTGAAACTTCAAATGTAGCGCACCAGATGGAACCGGTGTCGCAGCGGGCGGGTTGTCTATTCTAAGCCCCTGGGTAACTCTACCGTGTAGGATAAAGTGAGAGCTTGCAGACTTTCACGCTATCGGATAATGTCGTCCGCCTTAATTATTGAAACACCAAGAGTTATCAATCTTCTTGGCAATAGTAATCGTTGGTTTGCGAACGGCTTAATTATTGAAACTTGGAAAGTGATCCAGCTTTTTGGCAATAATAATCGTTGATTTGCGAACCTTGTTTTTTATAGCTCTGTTAAACACCAGGTTACTAGCAGTAACCTCCGTGTTAAAATTGTGACTTAATTTATGACAGTCTTGATCAATTTGTTTCGCTTTATGCCTATAAAAATGTATTTTATGTGTTGACGCAAGTAAAGCAACCTTATTAGCCTTGAGTAGCTTGCCTTTTTTTTTTTACATTCTGACTATTTTGCGCACTTCACACAGAAATCGCTTTAGGCGTAATCATTGCTCTTTTCGTTTCCAGATTTGGTCAAGAACTTGGCAAAATGGTCCATGGTTAGTGCACCTGTTCTTCATTGGAAGGTACTCGAAGGGCACGTGTACACGATCCTCAACGTTTTATCTTAGAACGAGAAGACGTTTTTAGGAGACATAATAACCATTACTGCCGCTCCCGAAGATCGTTTTACCATATATCTTACACATCGCCGAAGCTATCTCGACGCGCGCCCGCGGTTTCAGGGCCATATTTCAAGTCTGGGAAACATGCTTACTTTTACTGAAAGGACCAGTAATAGTACAGGTGTAATAAAAATGGATAACTCACTGAGAGTCTCTTGAAGTGCATTTCCACACCACTATTGCTTTCCTTCGGCTAAACTTTCCTTCGGTTGACTGAACCTATGCAATACAGAACAGCGGCCCAAAGGTTACCGTCGCTGTAAATAGCAATTAAAATCTCATTAGTTCAGAAAACACTTTAATATTTCTTGCCAAACTGCGGTTCCACAGGATCATAGTTGAAACATAGAAGTAGATGTAGAAGAAAGCGTGAGTGAAAGCGATCGAATCAGTTGTTAAACGATGTCTTGTTTCTGCAGCCGGTGGTTCTGTCTCTTTATAAACGATGGGGGTTCGGTGGCCGAGAAGGCTAGCTTAAAGTCACTGTACCCTTGACAAGTAGCGCCATTGCCTTCCCTGCCTGCTAGCCAAACACGAACAAATACTAACACACAGTTATTTTTATTATTTGTTCTTAATATTTGTTAATGACAGTAATGACGGTGGAAATTCACGAGTACGTTCGTTCGCAGGTAATTATGTTGTTTAGATGGACATTACAGATGAGGAGATTTTTAGACGGCTGCAAGGTTACCTAAACCGAAGAGCACAAGGGTGTAAAAGATGGAGGATTGAACTCAACGTAAAAAAGTGTCCATATTAATTTTACATGTAAAACGAAAACGAAAGTTGGAACGTTCTATCACCTGAATGTAGAGACCATACCAATAAATGTAATAGTTAAATATCTAGGTCTCAGGCTATCAAGAGACTGCACTTGTAGTGCCCATACTGACGACGTTGCTGCGAGGGCCGGAAGAGCGCTTGGGTATATAAACCAAAATTTTAAGAAATCAACTAGCGCTATGAGAATTCTCGCCTTTCTCTCGTATGTAAAATTAGTTGTAGAGTACGACTACACCGTCTAGGATCGTTTTCAGCAAAACCAAATTGTTGCACTAGAAAAAATTCTGAGTCGTGCTGCAATTTTTGTTCTGGTCCAGTATGACAGTTTTGTGAAAGTTATCGATATGATAGAAAAATGGGGTCACGCAGATTGGCATTAAGACGAAGGTATTTGCGCCTGAGGTTTTTATACAATATATATAACCATATAACTGGCATTATTAGATCATCTCGCTGTACCTCACAATTATATCTCCAAAAAAGATCCCATTTATTAAATAAGCGAATACAGTACTAGAACTGAAATGGGCAAAAAGTTGTTTTTTTTAACAATCTTGTCCATCGAGATTGCGTGTGCCACAAATTCAGATTTTCTTTTTCAGGTTTCTTTGCCCTGCGCTATAATACCTGATCGCGCTGCAGGACCTAGATGAGTAAAGTGTGAAGACGACCAAAACCTCACAAGGCGATTGGCTAATCAGTGCTTCCGAAATATCTATTGACATAAAGATTTACAAAAGGTTACATTGCCGCCAAGCTAACAATCAAGAAGTACCATTATAAACATATCTTAAGTCGTCATTTACATTTGCTCCTGCGCCATGTTGTAATACTTAGCAAAAGTCTCTGCAATTGTATCCAGAGAGTTTAAGAGCACCATTTTGAATGCGCACATCACTGCAGACTCACAATGAGTTGAAGTTTGATTCCCCATAAATACAGAGTTCCTCGTTTACGAATATTTTCAAAGGCGTAACGAGGTTTCAAACCGTGCTATTGACCGGGGCAAACGAGCTGTTCTAAAGAGTCGCTGAACACCTATTGATGACTTGTCAGTATTCGTAGCTCAATCGCTGGTGCTTGCAGTGACAAATTTTCTTCATCAAACTGAATCAGAATTTGTAGGCGGAGGGTGCGTGCACCTCTCGGCCAAAATGAATCGCGACGGGACACTATCTCAGAACGTGTATCCTTGTTTTTACCGACAAGGAGTAGGTACACGAGCTAGATCTTGAAACGCCCCAACGGCTTAAAACTTGTCTTGTATTCAAGATCTTAATTTCTGCCCGACATTTTGAAGGTCACTTTCAGGTCCGAGTAACCAAGGGGATCACGAGCTCCAGCATCTTCGTTGGGCTCTTGAAGACAATCTCGGCCCGAGTGGTGCCTGCAGCTCCGAAATATGTGCCCCTGGGAGCGGCAACACGTCATCCACACCAAGCTAACCTCGAATGTAGTGGTAATGTGCAACAACCGCAGCATAATGTCGTCTAGGTGTCTGCTTTTATGACTGCATTGAAGTTGGTGCATTCAAAAAGGTGAAGACGGAGTGGTTCGAGCCAGTGGAGCGCAAGAACCCCTGTCGGACGTTCCCGGTCGGCCAGGACACCGAGTGTTGTACGTAGAGCAAGGCTTAGAGTAATAAGAGTAACGTTGAAAATTTCGCATCTGTCATGGTTCACGGATTGCTGCAGCACAACCCGCTGAAAGCGCTCCATCTTGTTCGAGAAGAAACAAAAAAATTACTCTATGCAACGTTCTCACTTGCAGTAGCGTTCGCAAAAAGATGTGTGCAAGGTGCCACGATTTAGCACACCGAACAGTCTTGACCACATGGGCGTAACCAACCGAGGGGCAAGTGGGGGGGCGCTTGCCCCCCTTCCAGTTCTCAGAGGGGGGGGGGGGGAGGCAAGGCATGTGTTTCCTTCCCCCCCCCCCCCCCCCTTCCCCGAGACAGCCGCCACTGGGCAGGGCGAACACTGACTGGTGGCGCCCGAGGGATGCCAAGGGCACCGCCTCCCGGCCCGTTTGGGGGGGGGGGGGGAGGGGAATCTGGTTTGCCCCCCCCCCCAAAAAAAAAAAAAAAAAACAAGTTGCTATGCCACTGCTTGACCAGATACGCTTTCTCGCGGAACGACCAAGCGAATGATGCTGAATACTTCACCCTGTCATGCGCCATGCTTGTTACTAAGTCCCAGTTCCGAGACACTGTACACTCAACGGCAAAGAATACACCGGGAATCTTCAGCTCTAAGACGCTGACAATTCCCAAGAAGGGGCTAAGTTGGAAGGAGCCAGGGAGAAGCACCTTTGAGTTTTGTAGTTTACACTGCGCACAGGATACGGCTAAGCACTCTTAAAACACGCAAAGTACTTCCAGAATTTAGTCTTCGTCACGAAGGAGACGATTCCCGTCATCTGCGTATGCTAACAGGCTCAGAAAGCCACTTCCGGGAATAGGGGGGCCACGGAGACGTGGGCTACGTACTTCCACCCGGAGGAGTGGGTCGATAATTATCTGTAAAAAAAAGCACACTGCTCGAAACTTAGCTTAGGTTCCCGGCTAAGCTCCGCTTTGCGCTAAGCGGCGTTGGTGCAACAGGTCCTAAGAGTGCCAGCCTAGATTCTTTCCAGACATCAGAAGGATCGACATCACTTCTCTAGACTTTCTTTCTAGCTGTGATATTTATCACTGGGGTTACTTCTAATAATTGCGCAATGTGAGATACTTTGCTAAAAAAAGACATGCAGTACCACCTTGTTTTAAATCAACTTTGTTCTGGCGCACGATCGAAGGACGTGCTCAGCTTTTCTTTTAATTGCCCGAACGTCTGACATTTGGGACAGTATAGATATAGGTCGAAGCTTTTCTATTTTAGCTCTGACGGTAGTGAAAAGAAAAGTTTCGTCATTCGTCACTTTCGATATTACGAGAAAGTTTTAGCGAGTCGTTTCGACACAAACGGTTTGTCCCCAACGCTCCACCAACGTAACCTCGCATGCGCGTGCGAATAATTGGGTTCTTCCGAATGTGCTTCTAGTTCATTTCTCCAAATCGGGGCGCCCGAGTCATCACCCCAATGCAGCCAATACCGTTGACGACTCGGGGAAAATGGAAGATAGCAGTCGGTTGGGCGACTGACACCGCCGACCCAGCCGAGCGCTAGGTAGGACAGCAGGAGGCGACTTGCCATCCTGCTACAATTTTCTTCATTTGAGAGGTCTAACCATTTCGCTTCGACGACTGCTCACATTGGTAAGCAGTCGTGAATGCTGTGTAAATATTAGTGATTCGGACTAACTAATTGTTATGGTGACCGTAAAATGACGAACTGATTTGGCTTAACGACGCACAACGTAAACGATCGTTCAGGTTCAAGACGGAGACAATTCATCTATATTTACGGTCCTTCAGACACTCTTAATTCTATCTAGCTTAGGAGCTCTCGAAATTTTGGCCGGGAGATTCCTTTGGCCGTTTTTTTTACATCAGTTGTACGATGCGAAGCGCGAGAAACGAATTTGCACGCTGCAGGACGTTTCAGATTTTCAATAGACGATATCGCTGCTGGTCAAACGCGATCATCATCATCGTTTACATTGTTACGCCATTTTATGGTTCAATAAAACAAGTTAAGTTACACGTGGAGTTTTACGAGACAGAGCAGCTGCACCATTAACCATTTTGGAACCATGTGCTTTAGATTTGGAGCGCTCCAAAAGCTCTCCTTTTGGAACGCGCATCCTCCACTGGCAGATCAGGCTCAAGTTGTTCATCTTCCGTTCGCAGGTCGTTAGCGCAAGCACCGTGAAGCGCTTCCGATCACACTGCAACCGCTCCGCCAACTTCAGAAGGTCTCCCCGGAAGTCGACAGCAGCATCTCACTGCGCATGCGCGTCGCGGGCGGAGCATGTCCGAACTGGTCCAGTCGGTCGGTTGTTTATGCGGGTGGTGACGGGCAGTGTATGCTGTGCGTGCATTGCGTTCCGTACGCTGTTACCTCGCATGCTTCAGGAGGTGCCAAGGCGGGACTGGAGCGTAGCCAATCGTAAGCGCTTACATACGCGATCCCCACAGGAAGAACGAGAAAGAGTACGAACAGAATATCTGGAGAAGAAAGCAGACGCAAGGTTTGGCGTGTTCATTTCCCAGTAACTAATTATTCACCTCTGTGCACT